GCCATGACAAAGGTCGAATTTTCCAAAATAGTTTTCAGCTGAAAGTCGTCATATACGAGACAATACCTTGTAGCGGCACGACAGCTAGGCGAGCGTATTTTTGTTTCATGATAAGTGCAACGATGATAGTTGTACGCATTTTGATAAAATATTTATGATCTATGGCTACGTAAATGAAGCACTGTGAGCCAGTCGCGTGCGGTCGGCGAAATCGTCTGATGCCGCTTGCCGCTCACACTGGCCATAAATCGTCGTGAAGTGTTCCCCCCCCCCCAAAAAAAAACATCGCTACGTGGGAACCGGAAATGTTATAGACACCTTTCTTTGTCGACAGGGTATGTAACGGATGTCCTATAGGAAGCAAAAAATTAGGCACGATTGCAAAGTAAGCCAGACAGGTATCTTAACAAAATCTGAGGGAGAGGGGCTGCATCAGCACTATCTCTAGCCAAGGCCAGAGCTAAGCTCATCTCGGCTGGCCTTGTCTGAGTTTGCAAAGAATGCAACCAAGCACGGCCTGTCCTCTCGGCTGCCGCTGCCTCCCCAGCAGACGGTACGCTCGTTCTCCTCTCTCCTACATCTCACGACACCACCAGCTCCCGCATCCCCCTCCCCCCGGTCGCAGCCTTTCCACCTCACCTCACGGCGTGTCCGTCCGCAGAACAACTTCGAGACGATGCGGGAGTGCATGAGCACGTGCCGGGACGTGAGCCCGACGGACGGTAGCGGCGAGCGGCCGGAGGTGGACTGCTCGGCGCCGCCGGTCGACCCGCGCGCCCCCTCCTGCACCGCCCGTCTCCGCCGCTTCTACTACAGCGTGCCTGCTGGCCGCTGCGTCAGCCTGCTGTACGGCGGCTGTGGCGCCACCGACAACAACTTCGCCACGCAGTCGAGCTGCGAGCGCAGCTGTCCTGCGGGCGCTGTTAATCAGACGGGTGAGAGAGGTCGACAGGGGTCGGGCGGTCTTCAGAGGGTGCTGTTAATAAGACGGGTGATAGGGGTCGACAGGGGTCGGGCGGGCTTCAGAGGGCGCTGTTAATCACACGAGTGAGAGAGGTGGGTGGTGACGGGGTCGGGCGGGCTTTAGAGGGCGCGTCACACCAGTGCGGGCTCATGCTGAGTCGAAAAACGAAATCAGTCGTGTCGCACTCATTAATGTCACGGCAAAAAATAACATGCTCAACTGCGCTTAGCGGGAGCGTGGAGGTCAAAGGAAAAGGCGTTGTGACTGCTTCCGATTCTAGTTTACAACGACGGATATTGTTTTGGTAGATGCGTGTCAAAGAAGCGAAGTGCCCCATCTTGCTGTCATGCTAAGCCGTTCTCTTACTTCCTACCCCTTCTCCCTTTACTGATCTGCTTGACGCCGTTGTAGCCCATATGGCCGCTCTCCGTTCGCCAGAGATGTGTCTGGTGCTGTCATGATCCATGTGGCCGCTCCCCATCCGCCAGAGACGTACCTGGCACTGTTGTGAACCACGTGGCCGCTCCCGTTCACCAGACGTACCTGGCACTGTCGTGAACCACGTGGCCGCTCCCGTTCACCAGACGTACCTGGCACTGTTGTGAACCACGTGGCCGCTCCCGTTCACCAGACGTACCTGGCACTGTCGTGAACCACGTGGCCGCTCCCGTTCACCAGACGTACCTGGCGCTGTTGTGAACCACGTGGCCGCTCCCGTTCACCAGAGACGTACCTGGCGCTGTTGTGAACCACGTGGCCGTTCCTGTTCACCAGAGACGTACTTGGCGCTGTTGTTAACCACGTGGCCGCTCCCGTCCACCAGACGTACCTGGCGCTGTTGTGAACCACGTGGCCGCTCCCGTTCACCAGAGACGTACCTGGCGCTGTTGTTAACCACGTGGCCGTTCCCGTCCGCCAGAGATGTGCCTGGCACCGTCGGCGGACCCGGGCAACTGTCTGGGCCGCATGGATCGCTTTACGTACGACTCGACCACCGGCGAGTGCTTCCAGTTCGACTACACCGGCTGCGGCGGCAGCGACAACAACTTCGCCAGCCGACGCGAGTGTCTGGAGCTGTGCCGAGGTGTCACCGGCGAAGCGAATCAAGTTCAGAGTAAGATCCACCAGATCGGCGCTCGAGTCAGAGGCACGCTGTCCGCTCAGTGTGGCGGCTGGAAGCCATGTTTCAGTACTGAAGCAACCTGCATTGATAAAATTAGATGCCTTTGAAAGATCGTCTTTTTCTTGCATGGCAAACGTCAATAGATCCTAAATTTAGCTTGAATTCAGAACGTATGAAATCCAGTAGCCGTCTTTGAGATTTGCATTTCGGAAACAAAAAAGTTAAGGTTCGTTTAAGAAAGCCTTCAATTCAGAGGAAAACATCAAAAATAAAATTTAAAGAGTAAAAAGCAGCGGCCGGCTGGCCTGGTTAGAGTAAACGTAAAAAGCACATAGAGCGAAGGCTCAGACGGACATGAGTGTCGGGGGTCGACTCGTTCTGGAAACATGCCGCCAAAGCCAGCGTGGTCTTGTCTTGTGTCCAGATCGTGCCCCCTTACCACATTTTCAAGAGCTCACGTGATGTCACTGATAGACGCGCGGCGACCAGCCTGTCGACTGGTCTGACCTGACCTGCCGTGCCGCAGACGTGTGCCTCCTCCCATCGGATGCGGGTCCTTGCACGGGGCCGGGTGGAGCGGTACTTCTACAGCGCTGCCACCGGCCGCTGCCAGCAGTTCTCCTATGGCGGTTGCGAGGGCAATGGCAACAACTTTGAGACTGCTCGGGAGTGCACCAGCCGATGCACCGGCAGCAAGATCGAACCGGGTATGGGCTGACGCGGGACGGCGCCGGAGGGCTGCTTTCTGGCAGATGGACATAGATCAGCTGCATATCAAGTCACTGGCTTAGTCTAAGCAGCCTAAGCCGCATTGCCCCAAATCGCACTGCCAGAGACCGCTGTCATTATAAACATTCTTGCCTCTGGTTCATGAAATGGGTAGCATGACTGCATCACGAATGGCTATCATGGTTACCTTGCTTGTTTCACTCTTGGACTGGCTTCGTTGACATTCTGTAATTCCTACTCCTGTCATTCCACGCCTCCAGGCGGCGCAATCTGCAGACAACGCTCCTTGGTGGGACCTTGTGCGGGCAGCATCACCCGGTACTACTTTGACGACACCAGCAAACGGTGCCAGCAGTTCATCTACAGCGGCTGCGGGGGCAACTCAAACAACTTTGAGACCCGCAGCGAATGCGAGGGGTCCTGCCCAGCCACCCCTGGCCCTGGCCCTGGCCCTGGCCCGACCCCCAGCGAAGGTGGGTCTGTCACATGACATCGATCTCCGGAAGCCAACTTTGGGGTGCCGATAGCGTAGTGGTTGACGCGTCTGCGTTAACAATTGCGCGTCTGGGAAGCCAGAAGTACGCGGTTCCATTCCCCGCGGTGCCCGTCCTTCCTGCCAGGGTGAAAGGCAGGCAACGCCATATGGCCTCAATAACTGAGTGCGTCGTAAAGCCACAACGACACGCACACACACTGCGAGCCGCCTTGCGGTTAGGTTACAATACACCATTCACTGAGTGCCACAGTTTGCGCGGCCATATAATGTTACACTCAAAATGTCGCCAGAAGCTGGTTACTTCTTCGAGCAGCAGTGATCCCTGCGTCGTTTCGTGTTGGACTCTTACGTTAGCTCTCCGCTTCGCTGCCAGAGCTGTGCCGCCTACCCGCGGAGGCCGGACCATGCTTCGCGGCGCTGCCGCGCTTCTACTACGACCCGTCGCGCCGAGCCTGCCGCGACTTCACCTACGGCGGCTGCGCCGGCAACGCCAACAACTTCGAGACGCTAGCTGCGTGCAACGCGCGCTGCGGTGAGAGCAGCGAGCGGCCGGCGCGCTGCCTCGCCCCGCCGAGCGGCGATGGCACGTGCAACGAGCCGCGACAGGCGCGTAGAGTCTACTTTGACGCGCGCGCCGGCCGCTGCGCGGTGCGCACCAGCAGCGACTGCCCGTCCGAGAACAGCTTCCGGTTGGCCGCCGACTGCCGCGAGGAGTGTGTCGTGCCGGAGTCGGCGCGCGCCGTCTGCGCGCTGCCGGCCGAGCGCGGCGAGTGCGCCGGCCGCGAGCGCCGCTGGGCGTTCAGTGTGCGCTCGGGCCGCTGTCAGCCGTTCGAGTATGGCGGCTGCGGCGGCAACGCCAACAGCTTCGAGACGCTGGCCGCCTGCCTCGGCGCGTGCCGCGGTCTCCGGCTGAGTAACGCCGGCAACCTGTCGAACGCCTGCATGGAGCCGCCCGTGCTGGACGACCTCTGCGAGCCGCAGGAGCGGCCGGAGATGCGCTGGACCTTCAACGCCGAGACGCTCAGGTGTGGCGCGCTGCATTCAGCTAGTGGTAGCATGGAATGCTGGTCATTTGCGTAGACTGCATCATGCATTGCTTTCTTACGGATGGAACTCAGGAACAGCAAATATTACCAATGACACTGTAAACAAACACAGCACAGCACAGCACACGAATGGCCCTTTCAGTGACTATTAATTATGTTGCAGACATTTGGTGCTTGGTTTACGCACATGCCAGCGGCATTGTACCATCAGACAGTATTTGGATTTGCCCGTTGCTAGACCGAAACTTGAAAACACTTGAAAAAACTTATCATGATCGACCGTACACCCTCTATCCCGCTATGTTGAACTTCCTAACCTCACCCCGCCCTTCGGCTCAGGTGTGAGGACTTCGAGTCGTCCGGCTGTGAAGCGGGGCCCAACATCTACCGCAGCCGGCGGGCGTGCGAACGCTCGTGCCAGGCCGGGCCAGATCGGCCGCGGCCGGGCCCGGCCTCCTGTGACCGCGAGCCGCGCCCGGTGTTCGGCTGCACGCCCGGCCGCCAGCGCACCGTCTTCTTCTACGCGGCTAACCGCGGCGTGTGCCTCACACTGGTTGACGACGGCTGCCTCAGCGGCGACAACATGTACTCCACCAGAGAGGTGGGGCTGGCCTTTGGACGTCCGCTGTAGGCACATGCCGACAAACGTCACACGAAAAAAACAGACAGTGATGTATACAATGGATTGAGAGAGAGAGAGAGAGAGAGAGAGAGAGAGAGAGAGAGAGAGAGAGAGAGAGAGAGAGAGAGAGAGAGAGAGAGAGAGAGAGAGAGAGAGAGGGAGGGGGGGGGGGAGAGGGAGTGAGATGGAGAAAGAGAGAAAGAGAGGGAGAGCGAGAACGAGAGAGAGAAAACTGAAGTCTCTTTATTTGTTTAGGTGATCTGGAGTCTGGTCATTGTCCTCCAATGATATATATATATATATATATATATATATATATATATATATATATCAGTTTGTATATGAAATTATATATATATATATATATATATATATATATTCTGTTCTATGTAAATAACAAACGAAAACCTTTTTGTTTTGGAGGTGACCAGGCCGTTGCTTCAACTGATTTGCATGCATCGTGGGCAAGACGAAGATGAAGTGTGCGCCTAAGCCAGACAGAGGATGCTGGTTCACCAGCATATAGCGGCTTGTCATTGATTCTCAATTGGACTGCGCGTATCGCTATGAGAGATGCAGGTCTGCTTCCAATTTTGGTTTGGTATGGACTAGAGGTGTTGACGACAATTTTAGTTCGATGGAATGAAGGAGAGTGAGTAGCATTTAGGCAAAGCTGCTCGCTTGCGGGGGTCCTCTGCCGAGACTCCGCCGGGACTTCTGTACGGGATGTGTGCTCCGCCTTCGGATCGGGTCCTCACCTGAATGCACTTAAATCTACGCATGTGCGCAGGCAACTGGGGTGTCGCCAGGATGCAGGACGAAGAAAGACTGAGATACGAACGGCGGATGCTTGTTTCTAAAGTCTACCTGAACCCGCCGTTTTCAGGGCTACCTGCCGTCCTACCCGCCCGCCTGTCTCTTGTTGGAATGGCATGCGAGGTAGTTTCCGTTAAGCCATGTGACGTGCTTCTGGACAAATGGGATTTGAGTACTGTTGACTTTTAGATCAAACTGACGGGCGATTTTGCGTGGCAGGAGTGTTTGCAGAGCTGCGCGGGCGGTGGCTGAAGGAGGAGCCATCTGCCGGCTGCCCGTAGAACCCGGCAAGCACCTGCAGGGGTAGACTGCGCCGCTGGGCGTTCAGCACTGACACCGGCCGATGCGAGTGGTTCTTCTACACGGGCTGTGACGGCAACGCCAACAATTTCGAGTCGCGCGCGGAGTGTCAGTCTCGCTGTGGCGGGGACGTTAGCCAAGGTGAGGCTTACAGAGCGGGGCAGGGGGAGAGAGAGGCAGAGCGGGGGAGGGTGCAGATGTGCTGGTCGCCTTCTTACCACGGCAGCTCGTGTGTTCCTCTCCATGTACGGGCGTGAATAACCCACTGCTTCTACGTTCACCATGTGAATGAAAATATTGCCCCGAGGCTTTACCTAGAAGAGGAAGCTCTTGTGCAGCTGTATTTATCGAGTGCTGACCAGCATGTCTTACTCCCTCTTACATGAACGAGCAAAAACAGTCAGCCAGCCCTTTTCATGCCGCCCTTTTTGTCGCCCTGGTGTGGGAACTATAGTCACATATAGTCAATACTACCAAGGCCAAAGTGGTTTCCTCTCCTTTTTTGGAAAAAAATTGTCTTGGCTATTGCGTGTTTACCAGTCTTTTCAGTAAGCACCAGTTACTTACACAGTAAGCACCAGTAAGTCTGTACTTAACGGCTGACCAATCCTCCTGCTGTGAAAACAACCCACGCAGTCGGTCAACGCCTCCACTCTTCCTGCCTCCTCCCACCCGGCAATGGACTCACCTACTCGGTCGTCCAATGGACTCGCCCTCTGCTGCTCCACTCGGAACTCAGCTGCGCCGCCGCTGCCACCAGGCGGCGAGGACCGCGGTCCGCCGGAGTTCTGTCAGCTGGAGCTGGCCGCGCCGCCTGCTGGGCTGTCGGCCGTCAGGCGGCGAACAGCGCTTCTACTTCAACCGCGAGCGCCGCTCCTGCGACAGCTTCACCTACCGCGGCTGCGACAGCGGCGACAACATGTTCACCAGCCGGGAATCTTGTCTCTCCGTCTGCGCGCCCGGGGAGCGCGGTTAGTGCAGAGGAGGCAGAGGGGGAGGGTTAGATCGCTGGAGTTGAGAGTTGGGTCACGGGTCGGAGCCATCCGTTCGGTGGCTCTCTGTTGACTGAAATGTCTGCTAACGGCGTTATCTCCGAACCGGCTGACTTGTAAGGGCAGTGCAGCCGTTCTCGCTGTCCGTCCCAATAGCGTGGTTGGTTAGAAAGAGAGCGTCTATCTTCCGATCTACCCACCCGTGACGGGGGCGGGGGGATTCGAGCCGCTTTAGGTTCTCGCTATTTGCTGTTGACAGGAATGGCCGGTGGCAGTGGCCACCCTAAAGGTTAAGTGACGTCAAAGATCGTGACGAACCGAGCGTAGCATGGCGGTGCGTTAAGCTTTCCTCCTTAATTCTGCCGTTGCCCTGTATATTTACGATCTGGTGTCGGGGCTAGGGCTCACGCAGCGAGCACTGGTGGCATGAACTCTGATCACAGACATACATTCAGAAGGCTCGGACAAAATATTTACAAAGAGCTTGCCAGGTCATCAGTCAAGCTCGTTTATATATACAATGAGTAGACCAGGTAGTCAATGCAGGGGCCTTTTGGGTCGTGGCCATTTGGAGGTGGCGGCGGGGTTCCCTGGAGCCGAAAGCCCGAGCACGTTTTGGCAGCTTTAGACGCGCGGAGTGGTTTTGATATGTTTAAAAAATGACGCTGGCCGTCAGAGCATTAAAATGGGGCCTCGAACCTAACAGCGTCTCCAAATTCAAAAAATGGTTCAATAGTGCGACAAAGTGGTGCAACCTGGCTGAAACAGCGCCATATTTTACGATCTGGCCTCATCCTGGGTAACATCCTGGTCACATCATTAAAGGTGTGACTTATGAGTGTATGTACTAAAACCCTGAACTGTTAGTATACGGAGGAGCCGAGCTTCTTCCACAGTGGATTAGCTTTGCATCTCATGGCTGAAAATATATTCTGTTTATGTTATGTATGTGTATGAAGTATCATAGGTACATTTATATGCATGTATACATGCAGGCATGTGTGATACCTACAGGCATGCATAGAGGTATGGAGGGTGCCCTCAGAGGAAGCTCATGCCGAAGTTCTACATGTGACATTGGAAGTGCACTACACCAGTATCGAACTCTCATTTTGTGTTGTCCACAGGTGAAAGAGAGGACGAAAGACCGCAGTTCTGTCGAGTCCAACCGGAGGATATTGCAGGATGTCGCCCTGGCAGCCGGGAGACCAAGTTCTACTTCAGCGCCACGGCCGGCAGATGCCGCTCATTCGAATCGGTCGGCTGCGAGCGAGGCAGAAACGTGTTCCTGACGCGAAGGGAATGTGAACAAGCTTGCGGCGACCGCGATGCCGGTGAGGGAGGGGCAGTGGGTGAAAAACCCAAAAGAGCGAAATGGGGTGGATCTTGCAGCGATATCCTCGCAAGGAAACCAATTGACCGCCATTTGAAGATATATTTGGACATACATATTAGACAACTCAACCGTTTTCACTGCTAAGTATACAGCTGCTAACGTGTTGTGTGCCCATCAGGTGGTGAAGTTGAAAACCAGCCCCGGCTCTGTCGTGTTGAGCCCGAAGAGGACCCCAACTGCCGCCCTGGTCGCCGCGAGACCAAGTACTACTTCAGCACTGCCGTCGGCAGATGTCGCTCATTTGTGTCCGTTGGCTGCGAGCGTGGGAGAAACGTGTTCCTCACCGCTCGGGAATGCGAGGAGGTGTGCGAGAACCGAGACACAGGTGAGAGCGACCGTGAGTCTCTTTCCTCAGATTGGTGTTGGTTTGATAAGAGCCTTCTCGGTCACTAATGATCATTTCGGTGCCACGAGATGAAGGTAAGTGGATACTGGTGGGACAACACTGCATCCACTGCGGGTCCTCCGCCAAGGCTCGGTCCGCACAGGGAGCCCCGTTCAGGATACGCGCTCTGCCCTCGCACTGGGCACCCGCCGGGGGGCCCGTCCTACTGCTAGGTGCGTGTAGTCTAGGTGCGTGTAGCCAGCTCTGGATAACTGGGGTGTCGTGAGGAGGCAAGATGAAGCTAGGCAAGGGAAGTACAGCACATAATCTTTTTCATCGAAGTGTAGGCTGATGTAGCGCATCGTCTTACCCATCCAATAAAGGCCTCATTCGTTTCCAACGATGATGGTGCAACGACTAGCTTTTTGCGCATTTGATCCGTTAATTGCTCTAAAATCGTTTTTTCAGATGATGGTGGCGGCGGTATCCCGCAGTTTTGCCGCGCAGAACCCGAAGATGATCCGAACTGCCTGCCTGGTGACCGCCAGACCAAGTATTACTTCAGCGCTGCCGTCGGTAGATGTCGCTCTTTCGTATCGGTCGACTGCGAGCGGGGCAGAAACGTGTTCTTGACGCGGCGGGAGTGCGAGCAGGCATGCAGTGGCCGTGACGAAGGTGAGGAGGGCGTCCGGCTGTTGACCGGTGCAGGACTATCGCGCATCTGGCAGCGCTGCCGAGTGCTTCGGTGGGTTTGGGAGTGGGGACATTGTTAGATGGAGACAGTCTGGCTCCAACAGCAAGCTGCAGTTCAATCACGGCGCAGCAAAATGTGTAATGATAGGATTGTTGCAGAGCTTTAGGTACCTACGCAACAAAGCACGCTTTTCATTTTGAAAGCCATCAATGTTATGCCATGCGCTATTATCACCGCCTGGATACCGGCTCGGCTCGTCTATTGCGCTACAACAGCAGTGCGCATGCGCGGGCGTCTAACTAAACGCTGCACGCCTCGGCGGTCTTTGGCACGTGTCAGTTGCTGACCTGTCAGGTGACCTGACCGTTTAGCTGACCTGGCGCTGGAGGTCTATATTATAACATGTCTTACATAACATGATCACAGAAAAGACAGACGGCAATCACAATTCTCGAATTTACTGTACCGCTGCAGTTCGACCTTGGG